ATTATCATGGCTTCCCCACATTAAAAATATTGCTGCTAAAGCCACAAGAGCAATTAGTGTTATCAGGGCCTTATCTAAGGTTTCTTGGGGTGCTAATCCAACTACATTACTTAATGTTTATCGTGGTTTTGTTAGGGCTCATTTGGAGTGGGGATGTCAACTATTTTCTTTAGCTGCTAAATCTAATTTAGCTATTTTAGACCGTATACAATTTTCTGCCTTAAGATCAGTACTTGGATGCATGCGATCTACTCCCACTTCAATTTTATTATCTGAATCTGATGAGCCCCCTTTACATCTCAGAAGAGCCATGCTCTGTAGAAGACACATAGTTAGAAATATCTCTTGGTCTCGCAACCCCCTATTTCCCAAATTACAATTACTGGATGAAGTATTATTTGGAAGAACGGGTTCTCCGGATGAAAAAATCTTACGAAGGACAAAGTTTTCTTTACTTGAAGCATATATAGATGTTGGGGTTATGCTCAATAAATGTGGCAGAACAAAAAAACCTAATTTTTTTGATTTTTCTTGGCGTGAGCTTACATTTGATATTTCGATTGATGTGGACTCCGGTTTGGAAGTTAAATCTAGTGTCAATCCATGTGAAACTTTTGATTTTTTTATGAACTCCTCTTTTAAGGATTATGTGCACATCTTTACTGATGGTTCACATAACCCAACTAGGAGTCTTTCTGGAGCAAGCTATCATGTTCCCTCTATGAATCTTGATTTCTCAGTCAAACTCAGTGGAGTCATGTCTGCTGAATCCTGTGAATTATACGGTATATTTTCTGCGTTGAAATTCATAAGATCTACTCAATTAAATAAGATTATTATAGTATCTGACTCGAGAACTTCACTGAGTGACATTGGAAATAGGTTTTCACTTCTTAAGCCGCATCCCATTATACTTAAAATAGTTAAAATTACACTAGAGTTGATTAACGAGGGTCGTCTTATCCAATTTATGTGGGTCCCATCACATAAGGGTATTGTAGGCAATGTAAAAGCTGACAAGTTGGCTAAAGAGTCCTACAATCTACCTATAGGTAATTTTGCGGGTGCTCCAATGAGAGACTTTTATTCATTGTTGAGATCTGATCTAATATCGTGGACAAATAAATTATGGCCCTATTTTGGTTCTAATATATCCCGTAATCCCTATTTTGAAAAAGTTAATTTCAAATCTGTAAGACCCTGGTTTGGCGGCATTGATGTGCCAAGAAGATATATTAATTTAATTACAAGATTGAGATCTGGTCACATATGTACGGGAGAGCATTTCTCTAGAATGAATTGGACTCTTCCTCTGAATTGTCAGTGTGGCGAGGAGTTTAAAAGCCTCCGTCATTTATTAAGTTATTGTCCTTTATTATCTCCTTCTAGGCCTGCATTTTTCTCTTATTTGTCCTCTAAAATTTTGAATTTTGATCCGGACAATTTTAATCTGGACAGTTTAATTTTTAAGCCAACTTTAAATTCCGTTATTGAAATTGGCAAATTCTTTAAGGATAGTGGTATAATTTTATAGTCTTCTCAAAACTTCAATCTAAGCTTATTTATTGAGATATTATTGTGAATTTCCCTCAAATCCTTTTCCCTTAAGCAGTAATATGTAACTATTAAACGCCGCATATACATCTAACCTTTACTGAATTCGTATATTGGAATGGACAATAATCGCCTCACACGATATAGAGGCTAATGGTACAGTCACAACTTGACTGCCTTGCTACGTGGACAATAATACATTGCAGTGAACTGCACTTTACCTATACTTAAAATCCTGGACTGGTTTAATGCCTTGGATTATCCATAAATACTATCGTTAAAACAGTGTTCGTGAAAATTAACTGTATACCAAAATCTCAAATAATTAATCATTATTAGTGACATTCATTAACTTTTATTACTGGAAGTGACTTTTAGTACTGGCTATTTGTCTATACAAGAGGCCATTTAAACAAAACAAACAAACAAACAAACAATGGTCAGAGATGCAATGGTTGGAGGTTCCAGTGTATTTCGTAAATTATTTAATTTTTTTTTTGTCTTTTATCAAGTCAATCGTCAATATTTCATTTGTGAAAATCAATTTAGTTTTGCCTTTCGGCACTTTTTTGCGTGAGTTATTTCGCATTCACCGCACAATATATAGCATTAAATATTGTGCAAAAATATCACTTTGATGTTATGAAAAACATTTTTAATTCTTTGCTTTAAAAAAAACAAGAACAACTCTATCTAAACTACCTATAGCAAATATTTTTTAACACAACTATTTTGAAAATCATTTTTTTTTTAATAATTAATTTTTTTAAATAGCATGCAGGAGGGAATTTCTCGATTGTTTAACTCAGGGTAATGTAGATTTTCAACTTTCCAATTATTGGAGTGCGTAAAAAAATGAAAAAATTTTTTTTTTTTTTAATATATGTATTTGTTTTGTGATAGTTGATGAATAAAAAAGTAAGGGGATTTTTTTTATCAGAAAAGAAAAATTGGGTTAAATTCACAAAGACTCATTAACGGATAGATGTCGCATAAATTCGTTATTAACAATAATCTCTCATACATTGATTTATACTCTCTCTCTCTCTCTCTCTCTCTCTCTCTCTCTCTCTCTCTCTCTCTCTCTCTCTCTCTCTCTCTCTCAATTCGTTATCGCGTAACGCATGTACATGTGCGCGCATATACACACGATCGTCAAAGAGAATCATCAGCATCGATGCAGCCAACGTATATATATATAGAGTATAATAACCCTATATACTATAATATTTGTATCGATCAATAGCCCACTAATAATCGTTCCCTGCTATTAGGTCCGTTATTTAATTATTATATACAAAATAAATGGCAACGAGGTCAGATATATATATATGTGAGTGAATGTTGTGGTCAACATAAAAAAAATCTCTCATACACGCAATTTACCAATGGCTCTAAAATCAATAACCTAATCGAATGTAACAGTATAAATTGTAGAACCTTTTTTTTACAATAATTGTCATTTTTTTGACGAATTCAGAAAATCATTAATTTTTATCTTTTTGATGGAAGTGAGTGTATATATATACGTATGTGTGTGTGAATTGTGAATTTTGTGACGTCATGGATATATTTAAATGGATTTTCAACGTTACGATGCGGCTTTGAAGCATAGCCATATATCAAGTCAAGTTCGATTGCACATTTTAGCCCCCCTCTCCCCTCTATATAGTTGTTTTCCAAAACGGCATATATAGGTGAAAAAGGGGATGATGGTCTATTCTCTAAATCTCTTTTCACAAAGGGGAATTTATTATTTCGAGTGCATTCACAGACTGCAAATATTGTTTCGTATATAATAGTTTGTTAAAAAAAAACAATTTATGACAAATTTTCACTTTGATTTCTTCTCTGTTATGTCAAAAAAAATAATTTGATACAATCATAATTTACCACTGTTGAATATTAAAAAAATTCAATTTTCTCCATCTCATAAATTATGTAACAGATTGTCCAGGGGATTTGAATAAGATATTACCAGAAAAGGAAGAGAGATGTTTAGGAATTGTTTTCTCACATAAAACGAATTCAAAAAGATAAATTTATTTGAAAAATAGAATTATATTTCAAATTTTTTTAACAATATTGCTTAAACAATATTGACTTGTATAGCTGACGTAAAATTACAAATTATATAATGTCTGACTAAATATTTACTTTTACTACTGAGAGAATTTAATGTTTGAAAAATCTGACCCAATATTGGCTTCTACTTCTGATTTATTTCTAATTAGGTATTAATTTTTTTTACCTTGAATATAAATCAAACGTCACGTGTTATATATACATTTCATTCTAAAAATGTATAAATGTGAAACTGTTAAATATGATTGAAATTACCATTATTGGCGTCAAAATCCCAATTGGTATTTAAACATCAAAGAGAAATCATGTTATAAATTTAAATTATAACTATGAATATAAATTCCAAATTCTGTGAATAAATCATAAACTTTTATTTCATTTATGCATTCAATAACAGAAGCTTGGACAATTTATTAAGTGCGATGAAATTTTAATAAAGTATGTTTTACTATCAACGACACAAACTTAACTTATATATAGTAACACTAATTATTGTTTTATTATTATTTAATAATACAGGGTGTTTAAAAAGTATGATAACTTGCATTATAAATATTTATTTATTTCCGCTTATCGTTAAGTTTGTGGCCTTGATAGGGTGATAATATTTTCATCTAAGGTAGTCACAACTCAAGCTAGGAGAAGCGAATATAACCTTTTAGAGGTGGCATTAAAACGCATGGGGGGCTAGAGGGGAGAGTGAAATAGGATTTACTCAAGTTTTAATTGCTACTCGTACGTGCGGGGTACAGCCTCCATATCCTGTATGCGTGTATGTATATATATGTAAAAGTGTATACCAGTACTTGAGAGTCGGAAAAGGTACTTTCTATGTACATTCTTTCTATTTCTTTCATTTCACACACAACTACGTGCCTGCAATTTCTCTCCTTTTTTTCTCTCTCACTGCAATATGCGCGAAACTGCACCATAAGGGAATTTTTCCTCACCCAAAATGGAAGCGCCTCTTTGTTTTTTTTAAGACAAAAATCTATTTTTTTGTCTTTCATTATTCAGGAAATATTTCAAATAATCAGTTAGTTAAGGTTTCGCACAAATATTCCCCCTATATTATTTGACATAAAATCATTTGACATAAACCGCAATAGACATAAATTTCATTTGATATAAATCTCATTTGGCATAAAATTTTTATATCAAATGAAATTTATGATGAATGATTTTATATAGAATAAAATTTATGTCAAATGAGATTTGAGGAATATTTGTGCGAGTCACTTTTTTCCGTCTATATAATAGTGAGAAGCTTCCGATTTGGCAGAACAAAAGTTTCTTTTTTTGGTGCATTGAGAATAGAGAAAAATTTCAGGTATTAAGATAAAAAATAAAAAAAAATGAAGAAAAAGTGAAAAAATTTATTAACATTACACGCGAGTGATTTTGTTTCTAAAGTCGTGGTGTGTGTATTTATTTGTTATCGTCATGCATGTACTATTGAAGCATTACGAGACACCGGCAGCGGAATTCCGCTGTCGGTGATACAAGACTCGATGTGTGTGTGTGTGTGTGTCTGTGTTCACTCTGGTAATTCGAATGGTAAACAGCTGCCATTTCCCGTGAACCATTTCGAGTAATACACCTGATAAATAATCGAATAGACTCCATGCCTGAGATTTGCTCAAAAGACATCAAAAACCCCGTCTTCTTGTTTCACATTCCTCTATATACTATATATTTTTTATTATAGAATTATTATTTTTCTATCCACTGTGCCTTCTTCTATCTGTTAAAATGAAAATTAGAAAAAACAATAAAAAAACAAATTTCAGTTTTTTGTAATTATTGACAAATTTTGAAAAAAGTGGTGAGTAGTGCCAAAAAGGAAGGGAGTAAAAATTGTGTTAGGGTTTGGTGATGATTTTCGAGGGCTCGCGGGGCCTCGATGAACGTCATTCAGCGAGTATGAAGCATCCATCGAAGGAAACGATTTCCGAGGTTGCTATGGCACTATTCGGAATGGTTTGGTTATTGCGAGTTCGCTCGGAAATGCGTCGATGCTCAAAATGTCGTCGTGAGGAATTTTTAAACACACAACAACAACAGCAACAGGTGCAGGTGCAACAGCATCAACAACATCATCATCATCATCACCATCATCATCATCAACGTGCATTGTCCCAAACGACGCTTCATACCCCTGAGGATGCAGTTTCATCTTCGGCAAATACCCTCTTCACTTTAGATACCCCTGGATCAACAGGAATTGCTGGAAGTTACTGCGAAGTCCACGGATATGTACCACCCAAAGAAGGTATTACTTTCTTTTATCCTCTTCATTCAAAAAAAGGCAGTTGTTCCTTATCGGTTTGCAATAAAAAAAAAAACTTGTTATCATTTCCGTCTCGAAAACAACTTCACTTATTTCACCTATTTTTTATTTCCCTCAGAATTATTCATTAGCTTATTAAAAAAAGATAGCAAGAGAAAGAAAATGTTATGGAAATTTTTACAAATGGAAAGGGAAAATATGTTTTTAGAATTAATACAATTTTTTTCAAACTATAGGAAAAAAATACAAGTGATTTAATAATATTTTACCAATTTAATATACTTATAGAATGACTAAAAAATATAAAGTAAAAAATAAAAATTTTGACTAAATAATTATTGTTACTAATGACTTTTTAATTTAGTTATATGTCTGACTAAAACCGATTTAATCTACTAATTAAATTACAAAAATCGACTATTTTTTCCAACTACAGGAAAAATACAAATGGTTAAATAACATCCTTGTGTTTGCCTCTGAAAAGTCGTAAATAATACTACTTTTTGGAGATAATAGTAAAAGATTTAAAAGTTTGTTACTTTAATTCATGAAATGGTCGATTCTAAAGTAGAATAACCTCAAGAACTAATATCATAAAGGATATATTTTTCAACAAAAACAAGTACATTAACTTTAAATGTAACTCACCACAGAATGAGAATTGAAAATGTAGATAATAAAATTATATAATACACTTTAAAAAATACATAAAAATTTTGCAAAATAATTTCCTCAAAACAGATGACAACAATTTATTCTTTTATCCTCAAACAATATTTTACTTTTGTATAATTGAAATAAAATTTTTTATAAGAAATTAATAACTTATGTATCAGAAGTTCTAATGAAGAAAATATTTTTTTCTCTAAATTTTTTTTAACCACTATTAAAATGATTTTCCACAAAATTGACCATTTAAACACTTTTTCATTTGTTCTGAAGTCGTCACATAATGACGACGTTTAATGAACGTTGCCATGACAACCAAACCGATTTCCAACCATCAAGAAAACGTGTCCCATTTTCTCTTTATTTATGGAATGAGAAAAAAATACTGTTTTCCTGATTACTCCCCCAAAACTAACGGCTTACTCTTCATCACAAAAAAAGTAGAAAGCAAAAAAAATTTAAACTAATCTATAACGGTTTTTTGCTTTTTGGGGAAAATAAAATATTAATCCAAGTTTAATAATAATTAATAAAATATTAAGTTTAACACCTGAAATTAGTCAAGTTCTAATATAGTAATCGAAAGTTTTTGCTGATTTTACTTTTTTTGCTTTGCCAAGTGGTTTCTACCTCTGGTCAAATTCAAGTGCTTCCTGATTTCCTCGAGTATGTATATATATATACGGATATTCTCGAACTTTGAACCCTCTCAGTTCACTTCCCTCCCAGTGGATTTCCAATGAAGCACGTATTCCTCTTGATTTCCCCCATCCAATTCCTGTTCGACCTCACTTTATACTGATTCCTCTCTCTCCCTCTCTCTCGCCAATGAAGTGAAGTTATTAAAACAACCTTTTGATCACAGTGTGTATTCCCAGGGGAAAAATTTCCACAAATGGAAACATATATACTCTTTGGTAAACTTTATTTTTATTTTATTTTTAATCTCTGTAGCCATGAGAATTATTTAAAAATAGATACATTTAATAAAAAAAATATTTTTATTAAAATAGATATATGGGTGATTCTCCAGAAACAGGTCACTTTTGATTCTTTGATTAATTAGTTAATAAATATTATCTAGAATTGGTTTATTTTTTTTTTAATTTCTTCATTTTAATGATCTTTAATAAACTCATTATCAATATAATGATATTTTACTTCCCAAAATTTATTTTGTCATCTGAAATATGCTAAAAATATACTTTTGCTCGTTCCACACATGGATTTTGCTATTTTTGAATAAGATTTTTGACATTAAAATTAAAAATATAAAATTTGTCATTATAGTCATTTTAAAGTATGGCTGAAAAACTGTTATTCCCTAAAAGGGTTTTTAATTTTTCGTCCATTTAAATAAAAAAATGTTTATTTATAATGTTTCTTCGTAAATTTTTTTCTGGATCCGGAGTTGAGAATTTGACTAGTTTTTCGAGGTTTTGCTTGTTATTTTCATTGTAACTAAAGCAATTTTTTGATAAATATGTGTAAAAATCCCAATTGAATAAAAATCAACGGTACTAATTAACTAATTAACTTTTAAATTTATATTATTAAACAATACAATTTGCGTATTTTTATTATGTCTCAACTCCGAACCTGTTTAAAACAATCGTTTTTCAAAATAATTTTGAATTTCAACCTATAGTATCGATAAAAGTAATAAAATTGTATAAAATCCCTAAAGGATTTTTTATTTAGTCCTTAATTAACAAAGTAATTAATGTTTTTCATTTGTTTCTCAACTCCAGCTCTCTCAACTCCGGCCCCCGAAATTTTATTGAGCATGCGCAAGTTTCGCGCGAGCAGAAACGACACTCAACTACAGGGCCGTCATTCAGCTTTTCAGTTCCCTTGCGTTTAAGAAACTTAATTTTTTTTCTCTATTTTTATAAAAAAAGCCGAGATAAATTTCTACAAAACAATTAATTTTTGCAAAGAAATTATTGTTTTGTTCTCGAAAAATTAAATATTAAAAATTTAATTACATGTCTGCGCAAAAACAATGGTGCCTGGGGCCCCGGCCGCCCTTGCTACGCTATTGCGCTGAAAGTACTACAATACATATTTATCGTTAAAATTACATTAAAAACGGTTTTTAAGCTCAAATATTTATTAGAATCACTTGTTCCAATCATAATTAATAAAAAAGGATGCAATAAACATGTATTTTTAAATAATTTTGAAAAAAAAATTCCTTATTCAAAAGTGACCCGTTTCTGGAGAATCACCCATATGAAAAATGCTTTTGTTTGTATAAATGAGTAAACGATGCTATCGAATCACACAGGGACTTTCTATTCGCCAACAACAAGTTGGCGAACGCTTATCGTAACTAGAATCCAATGTGGGGCCGAAGCCGCACTATGCCACTTTATGTCGTTAGTGTTCACTCGGGTTTTGTCCCCTTTGTATATAAAGGACGTCTCTTTATCTCCATGACAGAGAAAGACATTCCAGTCTCACAAACGCTTTTCTGCTTGTTACCTTTCCAAGCCGAACATATATTCTCTTTTATACAAAAGTTGCTTAACTCTAAAGTAGATAAATGCTTTTGTTCTGCCAGCGGAGAACTTAAATTATCGCTAAATTTTACTTATATCGGTATATTTTTGTATTCTATTGATAATTTCTATTCAAAGTAATATAAATCGATTTTAGTCAGACATAATGACCAAAAATTGAAAATCAGTAGCACAAGTCAATATTTATTCAGACTTTATGCAAGTTTAAGTTTCTTTATTTCTCAATTAGAAAAACATATTTCATTGCAAATTCACAACATACCAATGGAATGCCTACGTAGATTTGAGATAAATCCGATGAAAAACAATCTGAATTGTAAATAATATGCTGTATAAAAAATAATTGCTAACCTTGATTTAAATTCCCAAGTCGAGGTGTTGTTTTCTTTTTTCTTTTTAGCTCTTGGATGTCTGTTCCAAGCCATTTACTAAACTTGCCATCAAACTGAGCGAGGCGAGCCATTGGTGAGCATATATCCGCCATCATGGTCCAGACTCGAGATACAAGCTGAATCTGCTGGAGCACGATTTACCAGTCCGTTTGTCCCTTCATGCGATTACTCATATACGATTCCTCTGGCGGCTTTATCAAAGTGTGTGCAGCAAGGACCCTCTCCCACCCAAGAAGGTTTATTCACACAGTAATCCTCCTAGGTCATGGAGGATTTACAAAAGCCGTAATTGTTTTCCCGTTAATTCGAGGAGTGGTTGGACGACGTTAACCCTCCACTGCTCGTAAATGGCACACACACACACACGGTCACCATCATCGTTGACTTATTTTCTTTTCTGAGGAAAAAGAAAAGCTGCATTTTATGGCACGATTATTTTCAACAGAATGCCTAAAAAAAGAAAATTGCATTTATCTAATCTCTAAAAAATAATCAAACCCGAGACGAAAGAACCTCTAAGAAGTTAGCGATGCCAAGTTCTAATTACCATTTTTTGCAGCTGAAAAATTTATTATTTTGAACAAAAAAGAATAGCGTTGCCAATGTTCTTGGACGTAGACGAAGATCCTTGTGTAGTTCTTTTTTATTAGGTCAAATTTAAAGTGGATTGCATTGTTCGACTTTTTTTTTATGACTCTAAGTATAGAAGTGAGTATAAGGCATAACAAACGTCAAGATTTCTCATGGTCTCAGTATCCAAAAGACCTTTTTTTTGCATTTCTTTATTACAAAACTTCCACAGCTCTCGAGTATATTCAAGTCAAAGTTTGCAAGGTTTGGTGAGCTGGGAAATATCTCGAAATGCTTTATTCTAGAAAGTGGCAGTGCTGAAGAAAGTTTTATGAAACTGATTCACATTTTTACGAAAAAGGATAGTTTTTAAAACTGCAAAATGGGAGAAATAATTAATTTTTTTGCAAATTCCATATATGATAATATCCATCAAATCAGTTGACAATTATCTTGACACGATGCATTTGGAATACATTGTAATCCAATCGCTAAATGACATACTGATGAATTACCATTCATATGCGAGACACGATTTGTGATTTATGTTTATTAAAATCGTGATCATCATTACGGTATTGATAATTTAAATTATAAATGAGTAAATTCTGATTACATAGCTTGATTTTTCATATATATATATATAAAGAATTTCGATTTCACAACAAAATTTCTTTTTTTTCTTCGACAAAACAAACGGAAGAGATATACGTGAAATTTAATTTACCAAAGGTTCGCTCTTCAAATACCTTTTGCCGTCCTTCCCCACATCGACTAAGCAGACACAGAAGAAAAGGAAGTAAGTAGGTTTCAAGTTGTAACATGT